ATAAAAAGTTAAAAAAAAAAAAGGAAAAGAAGTTCATATAAGCTGGATAATCAAGAAGAAAAAAAGTCAAGAAAATTAAAAGCTTGTTTTTTGAAAAATAAACCTTTGGGTAGACATGTCAAAGAGAAAAAAAGAAGTAGCTAATTTAATAAATTCAGTGGCAAGTGCTGCACAGTGGGTTAAGCCCCAGCCTGCACACCAGCACTCTATATGGAATCCTAGCTGTTTCACTGCTTTTTTTTTTTAATTTATTTTATTTACTTAGAAGGCAGAGTTGGTCAGACTAGGAGAGAGATCTTCCATCTGCTAGCTCACACCATGAATGGCCACATAGCCAAATGGTCAGAGCTGGTCTGGTCTGAAGCCAGGTGCTAGGAGCCAGGAGCCAGGTGGTTCCTCTGGTTCTCCCATGTGGGTGCAGGAGCTTGGGAACTTGGGCCATCCTCTGCTGCTTTCCCAGGCACATTAGCAGGGAGCTGGATTGGAAACAGGACAGTTGGGACACAAATTCAGATCTCGCCATGGTATACTGGGTGTGCAGGCAGTGGCAGCTTAAGCGGCTATGCCACAGCACCATCCTGCTGTTTCACTTCCCTGCTAAGGTATGTGGGAAGTGCAGAAAATGGTCCCGGTTTGGGGCTCCTGCTATCCACGTATGCAACATCTTCACGAAGCTCCCGGCTCCTGCTTTCAGCCTGGCCCAGTCCCAGCTGTCTCAGCCATGAGGGAGAATGAAGCAGTAGAAGGAAGACAGCTATCTCTCTGCCTTTTCCTTCCTTCCCCTTCTCTATACAACTCTACCTCTAAAACAAGGGAAATATTTTTTAAAAAAAAATACCAAAAGTAACACAAAACAATTTCCTAGAAAATTAAATTTATCAAACACCAAATGAAGGCTAAAAAACTGGTAGGACTTGGTGACAGGCAGGAGGTGGGGAATGAAGAGGATGCCAGGGGTGACTGTTGTATCTTTTACTTGGAGGACTCGTGCATGTGAGCTGTATTTACCCCGAGAAAGCTAGAAGCAAGGCACAGGGACAGCCTGGATGTTGGCTGGGGAGCTAAGGAGTATGGGTGTGCAATGAGGAAGGGATGATAGCAGAGGTGCTAAGTACAAGTCATAAATTTAATCAAGACAGGTTGGATGCAGCTGACTTTAAGAAATGCAGGGGTATGTCCAAAACTTCGCAGAAGACTGAATTAAAGAACAAGTTGGGGCCCGGCACGGTGGCGCAGTGGTTAAGGTCCTCGCCTTGCACGCCCAGGACCCCATATGGGCGCCGGTTCTAATCCCGGCAGCCCGCTTCCCATCCAGTTCCCTGCCTGTGGCCCGGGAAAGCAGTCGAGGACAGCCCAAAGCTTTGGGACCCTGCACCCGTGTGGGAGACCCGGAAGAGGCTCCTGGCTTTGGATCGGCATAGTATCGGCCGTTGTGCTCACTTGGGGTGTGAATCATCGGAGGGAAGATCTTCCTCTCTGTCTCTCCTCTCTGTATATCCGCCTTTCCAATAAGAAAATAATAATAATTTAAAAAAAAAAAGAACAAGTTGATAGGGCCACTGTTGTGCTAGAGTGGGTTGAGCCCATAAGGGCGCTGCTTTGAGTCCCGGCTGATTCAGCTGCCTTCTGTACTCCTGGGACCTTAGCACAGGATTGCCTAAGTGCTTGGGCCCCTGGTACCTGGTTCCTGGCTTCAGAGTGGTCTGGCCTCGCCTGCTGCAGCCATTTTGGGAGTGAAACAGTACACTAAAGACTTTCTTTCTCTCCAGAGAGTTGGAGACAGCTCCAACTCTACCTTTCAAATAAATAAAATAAATCTTCCGAAAAAAGGTTAAGTTTATTTTGGTGCCAAAACATTCTGAAGTCAATGCGATCTTTTTATAATATGCAAGAATTTCAGGGTTTTTTGACAGCAAAATAAACCTTATCTCTTAATTCCATTTTCCACGTTGTTAAAGTAGAGGAGACCTTGGCTAAGGTTGCAGTTGGATATACTGATCAGAAGTTCAGAAGAGAGCAGCGCTGACTATATCACATTGGAGTTAACTGTACAGAGATGAACTATAAAGTGGCTATTGCCAAGATAAGGCAGGCTGTCTGCTGCTGACAGTGCTGGTACCCAGTACGGTTGTCACCTGCTGATCTGCCTTCCTGCTGACGTGCCTGGGAAAGCAGCTCAAGAGATTCAAATTCTTGGACCCCTGCACTCCCTCTCTCTGTAACTCTGCCTTTCAAATAAATAAAAGTACATCTTGAAAAAATAAAACTTTTCAAAAACAGCAACAGCAACAACAGCAGAAAGCACAGATGTTTTATAAAGCTACAGGTGCATACAGCAACGGTTTTCACAGTGTTGTCTCTGGACTGGCAACATCTGTATTAGCTGGAAACTAACGCATCAGAAACGCTGCAATCTGTGCAGAGTCCCGAGGCACTCCTGGTGCAGGGTGCCAGGTGAGGACCTTCCTGGTGCAGGGTGCTAGGTGAGGACCAATCAGTGATGGCAGAGTGAGAAGTCATGAAGATTTGGAGTTTTGCCTTGGAAACGCCAATACATTTTAGGTGCTAATAAATAAAACATTTATTTCTTAACATTTATTTCTTAATATTTATCATTTATTTAACAGACATAAAAAAAAAAAGAGCTCCCATTCACTTATTTTGTCTCCAGACGCTCCTAACAGCCAGGACTTGGCGCAGCCAAAGCTGAGGATCAGAAACTCAATCCAGGTCTCCCACTTGAGTGCCAGGGACTCAACTATTTGAGCCATCATCTGCTGCCTCCTGGAGTGAGCGGAACAGGAAGCTGGAATCGGGAGCAGCGCCCGGATTCTGATTTGAGACGCAGGCATTCCCAGTGCAGCCTTAACCACTAGGTCAAAGGCCGATCCTGACCCAACAAAGCAGAAATAAGACTGCAAGAATGACGTAGAGGAGTAGTAAGAGAAGGGAGACTTGAAAAAAGAAAGATTTTTCATTCACTGGTTTACACCCTCAGTGGTCACAGTGGCCAGAGCTGAGCAGATGGGAAGCTAGGAGCCACGAGCTTCTTCCAGATCTGTCACATGGGCACAGGGTCCCAAGGCTTGGGTCACCCTCGCTGCTTTCCCAGGCCACAGGCAGGGAGCTGGTGGGAAGTAGAGCAGCTGGGACATGAACTGGCGCCCACAGGGAATGCTTGTGCTTTCAGGTGGAGGATTAGCCTGTTGGGCCATCGCACTGAGCCCACAAGGAGTGTTCGTTAGAAGTATTTTGAGGGGTACTGCAAGTACTACAGAGATTCAATGATCATAGTCCAGAACAGATGGAACTACGTTGAGAAGTGAACAGCTCAGACAGCTGAGGTGGTATTCTGCGACTCAGTGTCTAGCAGTGCTGCCCACAGTGATAATAAGGAAGCAGACAACTTGCTACAGATGCCACACCTCTTTACCGTGGGCACATAGAGTGGCCTTCTCCCAACCCTGCTCCTGGTGCCACCGAACAGCACAAGGTTTCTGAGAGTGGCTGGGGTTGGGAACTAAAACACAGGTGGAAGGACTGACTATGGCTGGAGAGACAGATAAATGTTTTCACTGGAAGAAAGGAAGTTGGTATGGGTGGGCACAGATGTGGGAAGATCAAATGGCTTCTACTTCCCCTGGGAGGGCACCTGTGAGGCTGTTCCTGCTGATAGAAAGACATAATGAAATAAATGGCTATCAAGTAAGTCCTCCACAGTCACAGATTTCAGATCCTACCGATCAAGGGCTGAAAATACTCAGAGCAAACTGTCTGCTTTGCACATGTGTAGACTGCGCTGTTATTCCATCAGCAACACCTTCACACAGTGCTCAATTCTGCTAGGTACTATAAATAAACTAGAGATGATTTCAATCAACAGGAATAAGTGTGTAGGTTATATGCCAATACTATGCCATTTTTTATAAGATTTGAGCACATATATTTTCATATGTGTGAGAGGTTCTAGAACCAATCTGTAGATACTAAGGGAGAAAAAACAATGTTTTGAAACCCAAACACAGAGGGATATTCAAAATGCTTGTAGAAAATGCCTATTAGGGAAATACACATGGACTTTACAATTTCATGCAATAAAATAATTAATAATTTACAAATTAATTTAGTATTGCCATTAACTTTCTGAAGTACCACTATACTTTCAAGAACAATGCAGGAAATAAAACAAGGACCTCAGTGAAATATCAGCATGCTACAATTATTTGTTCCATTAGTCATTCAACAAGTATTTCCAGACCATAAACCCAATGCAAGGCTTAACATGAAAATTATGAGGGACACAAAGTCCTCATGGTATTCATAACCCAGTAAGCAATTTCCCTGTAAGCAATTAGCTTACAGGGAAAATCTGATTTTTTGTTAATGCCTTATAGTAAAAGTAGAAATAGGAAGCTCACAGGGTTTAAGTCACTTCAAAAATTTCAGTCAGTGCAGATGTTTGGCACGGTGATTAAGACATCGCTTGGAAAGCTCTGTCCCACAGTGCAGTGCCTGGGTTCAAATCCTGGCTCTTCCACTTTCAAACTTGAGCTTCCTGGTAGTGCACACGCTGGGAGGAAGCAGGTGCTGCTGGCCTAAGCACTCCTGGTTTTGGCCAAGCTGGCCCTTGACTGCTACAGATACTTGGAAGTGAATCAGCACATCAGGGAGCTCAAATAAAAAATGTAAAGAAATAAATTTAAATATTGACATGACTAGAATGCAGCTCTTGCGCGTTTCTGTCACTGATCTGCTCCGGCTGCCAGCCCTGCTCCGGGCAGACAATCTGATGACCTTAGGTATTCTAAAAGTGCCCCGACACAGCAGATGCTCAAGCAGGAGCCATTTCCTCCTTTCTTTCCTTCTGCTTTTTTTTTTAAATAAATTCTCTCTTGATGAGCAAGGGAGGGAAAAGGGAACAAACAAAAGCGAGATCCTTTACAGCACAGCATTTCCGGTGTAAAGATACTGAAACAGTCCAAGCACTTCCCGTTGCCTACCTTGTGTCTGCGGGCTGTACGGCGACAGGAGTTTGGACCTTTTCTTTTCATATCCCTTCTGTGTGATGTCCCCTGAAACAGTGAGAAACACGAACACGTTACGCATCGTTCCTGTCCTACGGTTGCTCACTGTGCAAGCAAAGTTACTTCACAGACGGTTGCCAAACTGTCACACTCGGAGTTGGGGGGTCGGCAGTAGGGTGGGATGTCTGGGTCTTTGCCAAGGATTTTGCTACATGTGATTTTCCAATGACACGGGGCTGACTTCTTGTAGAAAATTGGAGGGCTTGTCCTTAAACATCATGACGGAGATACCCGAGGTCCTGTCTGCCCCTAATGTCCTTGGTATCTAAGATATCCCAAAATGGAATGCTGCAAGGTACAAGGCTGCCAAGATAATATTTTAACCAACTAAGTATAACTGGTTATTGAGATATGTACGCTCCTCAACAGAGCCACGTAGTCTCCGTACCAAGGTCCAGACAGCCCGATGGTTATCAACAGAGCCTTCTCAATCCGAGCACCGCGCTGCGATCGCGGTCTTCAAGCCAGCACACTCGCCTCCGCTCACTGGCCTGTAAGATCTGTTGATATCTTTTCTATAAAGTTAAAATTTTAAAGTGAACACTAAACACCAACAAACACATAAGTGACAAGTGCAAAAGGAGAAACTGAAAAATACAGGAAAAATGTGTGACTAACCTATCAAGAAATATTCCAAAGAGTAAAGAGACAGGGTCAAGTGGATGGGTAAAAAGCAGAGCTGAAACAAACAGAAAACATGGAGGGTCAAAGAACTTTCTAGGTGAATGAGTGAATCAAAGCTGGGACAAGAGGGTCCACATGGTGGCCTAGTAGTTCAACTCCTTGCCTTGCACGTGCCAGGATCCCGTATGGGCACTGGTTCGTATCCAGGCGGCTTAGCTTCATGGAATAAGCAGCTAGATGTGGCACCCTGGATGTCAACTAACTACTAACCATCTCAGGTTTGTAAAGAAGTTAATCAGGAGTTTCATTTAGCCATGCCAATGATCCCTGGCAGATCCGCAAGGAAGCAAATAAAGAGATGTGAGGCAATGGACCATCAATCACTTTAAAATGCTCCTGGGGCAGGCGTTCAGGTACAAGGATCTGCTCAACCCCCTGCTAAAAACAACCATATCCCACAATGACATGCTAGTCTGAGTCTGCTACTCTGCCTTTCTTTTAGATACGAGACAGGGAAGAGGAAGAGTGACGGGGGAAGAAAAGAGAGAGGGAGAAGGGAAGGGAAGGGAAGGAAGGGGAAGGGGGAGGGAGGGAGGGAGAGAGAGAGAGAGAGAGAGAGAGATCCTTCATCCCCTGGTTTACTACCCAAATGGCTGCAACAGCCAGAGCTGAGCAGATCCAGGAGCTTACAGTTTGTTCAAGGTTTCCCACTGACTGCAAGGTTCCAAACACTTGGGCCATCCTCTAATGCTTTCCCAGACACGACAGCAGGAAGCTGGAAAGTACAGGGAACAGCTGGGACTAGAATCAGCATATGTATGGCATGCTGGTGCCAAAGGCAGCAACTTCACCCTCTCTGCCAAAACACTGGCCCCCACTACTCCATTTCTGATCAAGCTCCCCACTAACATGCCTAAGTGCATGATGACTCAAATACTTGGGCCCCAGTCTCCCAAATGGGAGACCTGGATTAGCTTCTGGATCCTGACTGTTTTCAGCCATTTGGAAAGTGAGGCTACAGACAGTAGATCTCTGCGGAAGAAAAAGCAGAGACAGATTCTGTTTTTCAAATGAATATATATATATATTTTTTAATGCCCTTCCTCCTTTCTCTGACTGGAAGTCCCTGCCCCAAATTCCTCTCCAACATGGTGCCTCCCATCACTTGGTAAGCACTTCACTCCACGTACTTCTGTGATATCACTTAGCATACCGCTGGCATTTTAATCATGTGTCAATGCTAGACTACGCAGTGGAGGGCAGGGGTTGCGTCGTCTTCGTCTCTGCAGCCTGCCCACTGCCTGGAACAACAGACATCTGTTGAATGAGTGACTGAATTAATTAATAAAATGGGGCAGTCAGAGAACAATCAAAGAGACATCTGTGTTTGGATGGAAAACTGGAAATGGGAGAAAGAGAAGTCTTTACACCTTAGCAGGACCTGAAAGGCCAAGAGAGAACTTAGTGATCCAGGGACAAGAGCCTAAGGGATAAGACGAGCAACACAGAGGATGACACAAAAACGATAGGGCACTCCAAGCCCAGACTCATCCCTTTCCTCGCGAGCTTGCTGTCTCATCTTCTCTGTCTACCCCAGGCTACTCTCACCAGCTGAAATCAAGCAGATTTTGGTGTACTATACCATGTTTTCCAAATTTGAACTTTTTTTTTTCCAGAATCACCTAAGGAATTTAGAAAAAATAAAATCCCCAGGCGCCATTCACGGATATCATGATCCATTAGGTGTAGACGAAGACCTAGACATTCGAGCAAGGCAAATGAAATTGCAGGATAACTGTGTCTCCCAGCTGGGGACTTGGGTTTAACACCTGCCTCTGGTTCCTGACTCCAGTGTCCTGATAGCGTACACCCTGTGAGCAGATGTGATGGCTCACACAGTTCAATGCCTGCCATCAACACAGGAGGCCAGATTGAGTTCTGGTCTTGGCCTGACCCAGCCTGGGCTATGGCAGGTTTGCTTTTGGAAACAAAAATCTAGAAAGATCCAGGAATCTATACTTACAAAAACTACCTCCCAATGGGTCTTTAAAAGTCAGGCAAGTTTGGAGACAGCAGTATTGAAGAATTCTGTGTCCTGGATGACTACAACAACGTAGGGAGGGTGAAATGAGGGGAAGAACACTGCAAACCACCCAGCCTCCAGGTGGAGCCAGAACACCCAATCCCAACAGAGTCATCATTGCTAACAAGAGATGCTCTGCCATCTGGCAGATGGAACATAAAGGAGTGTCATAACTGTGCTGGTATAAAATTTGCATTAAAAAAGCCTATGTCTGAGGAAAACCTGTTGTTCAAGTTTTCTGAGAACTAAACAAATACCGGGAGGATTAACCTTCCACTCCCACTGAGATAATGTATTTTTCCACCAACATGAACACCAGGTGTCTGCAGTGATGGCAGACGTGAGGGACCCAATCTTATAACAAGATACTGACCCAAGCAACCAAGAGATCAGCACCAAGCAGCCTGGGACCCAAGCCAGCGTCACTGTCTCCAGTGGCCACAGTCTCCAACAGCCAATACCAGACACTTGGGAAGATGCAGATCTGGGGCAGAGTGTAAAGCAAGTGTGTTCCCAACTACTGTCTCCACCATCTTGGATCGATGAAAATGACTCAGCATAAATGGACTACAGATCCTTTGAGGGTTGTGGTAACCTGCCAGCCAATCCCAGCCTCTTAGAGGCCAAAAGGTGACAGAACACTTCGACAACCACGTGGCCACTCAAGCATATATGTACAAATGGTCCCCCCCCCCTTCTTTTTAATTTATTGTTATTGGAAAGGCAGATTTACAGAGAGAAGGAGAAGGAAAGCTCTTCTGTCCACTGGTTCACTCCCCAACTGGACGCAATGGCTAGAGGTGAGCCAATAGAAAGTCAGGAGCCAGGAGCTTCTTCCAGGTCTCTCTTGCAGGTGCAGGGTCCCAAGGCTTTGGGCCATCCTTGACTGCTTTCCCAGGCCACAAACAGGGAGCTGGATTAGAACTGGAATAGCTGGGATATGAACCAGCACCCATATCAGATCCCGGTGGTTGCAAGGCGAGGATTCAACCATTAGGCTATCAAGCTGGGTCCTCTACAAAAGATTCTAATAGCAGTAGCCAGGCCAGGCCAAAGCCAGGACCCTGGAACTTCATTTTGGTCTCCCATGAAGGTGGTAAGGGTCCAAGTATTTGAGCATCTTCCAGTGCCTTTCAGGAGCATTAGAAGGAAACTATTCTGGACTCTAACGAGCATGCATAAGGCATACTGGAACTGAAGATGGCAGCTTAACCTATTCTACCACAATGTGCCTGGAGGATGCTTTCCACCTGGTCTACATTCTAATGTTAGAAATAGAACATAAGGGCAAATTAAGTCACTGCCTAAGATCCTGGCATCCTACTTTGGAGAGCCATTTTGAGTCCCAGGTACTCTGTTTTCAACCGAGATCCCTGCCAATGCATCTGGGAAGAAAGAGGAAGATGGCTCAGGTCACTGGGCCCCTGCCACTCATCTGGGAGACCAGAAAGCAGTTCTTGGCTCCTGGCTTCAGCCTGACCCAGCCCTGGCTGTTGTAGCCATTTGGGAAGTGAAGCAGTGGATGCAAAATCTCTCTCTTTATCCTCCCTGTCATCCCATCTTTCAAATGAAATAGAACACATTCCTAATCATGTGGGTATTCAGTGGTTTGCTACCTTTACTGTGGCTCACTCATTCTTTATGAGCATGAAATCATTTGGTAGTTGCTTTAGGATTCATGTCTCCCAAACAGGGAATGGTCAGCAATTTTCACTTACAACCTTGTGCAGTTTCCAAGCAATTAAGGGCTAAACACACACACAATTTGGAAGATTCCAAAGAACCATAACTTATAACCTTTCCTACAAGGAAGAATCTTGATGGATGAAAATCAAGGATTACAGGTCCAGCCATAAATTCTTTCTGGTCCAGGGGAAATAAAAGAGAAATGCCATGCCTTGTCTCAAAGCCACACTGTGTAGTCAATCGCAATGGGGACTTTGGGAATGCAAGGAAAACAATTTTTTTTTTAAACACTGAATAGATGATCCATACAGAGTGCTAAGTAAAGATGAATAAAGCAGTATCGTCACCTTCAAGAATTTCCTAAACAAATAATTATAACAAAGCAATAGACACGGAGATTATGTACAAAGTTACGTGAGAGCATAAAGGAAATAATAGTAATGAAAATAACAGCAATATGCATTAAGAGTAAATAAGTAGGGGTTTGCTTGCTGGCATAGCAGAGAACTGCCACCCATGACACCAGCGACTTGTGACAGCCACTAGCTGGTGTCTGAGTTGCTTGCTTCCCCTGCAGTTTCTGCTGGTGGTCTGG